TTTATTTTTATTTATAACCTCTTTAACAATACGGACATAATCTGGATCATACAGAAGAGAGTTGTTAAATTTCCACAAACCCCTCCCAATACTGAAGTTATTAAGTTTTATTTGTAAAATAATAGGCGAGTGATCTGATCTATAACTATTTTGTATCTTTAAGTCATGTATATTTGGGTAAAAGCTCTGAGAAACTAAAAAAAAATCTAGTCTGGCCTGCTTTATAGGGTTTGGTTTCCTCCAAGTATACCTTTTACTTTCTGGATATAATTCTCTAAAGGGATCAGTTAAATTATAAATTTCCTTTATATCTAGAACTTTTTCTTTGGCATTTGGATTATTTATATTTAAGTAATTAAAAGTATCAAGGTCTTGATTTTGCACTAAATTATAATCTCCCGTCACAATGACAGTCTGATTATCAAATTCCTCAATTATTTCACCTACTTTGTCATAGAAATCAGGGCTATCACTATTTGGACCATATAATGTAATTAAAGTAACATTGTTATCTTCAATTTTAATATTCAATCCTAATAAATTACCATTTTGATCTTTTTTACTTTGTAAAATCTTATATTCAAAATTATTATTAAATAAAATGGCCACTCCTCTTTGATTTGAAGAAAAGGAACTAAAAACACATTTTCCACCCCATTGATTCTTAACAAATTGTTCATCTTTTTCAGAAAAGTGAGTATCTTGAAGACAGTACATGTTACAATCTTTTGCTCTTAGATAGTCTAAAACATCTCTCCCTTTTTCCAATTGAATTAAGTCCTTGGCAGTTGTATGAGACAATCTGAATAAGATTATTTTTCATTCAGAGTATATATGACACATTTGGTTTGATAACATAATTTAAATATAAAATGACTGAAAAATGTCCCACACAACTGACAATAAGTAATGAATATCTAACCAATGTATGTTATGTAGTAATGGTCTGGTCTCTGATTCAAACATGATACTAATAGTAATCCTGCTGCTATGAGTTTCTATACCTATATTTGCCAATAAAATAATAAACAAAATAATAAAACATGGAAAAGAAAAGAAATGAAAAAAATTTGAGTAAAAAATAAATAAAAATGATAAATAAGAGTAAGTTAAAAAATACAAAATATATACCTGCAAAGGGTATAGTCACCCAGTTTAATGAAATTACCGTTTATGCTCTGCTGGAGGGGGTATTTGTAATACTTTCGATCAAAGGTTTACATTACGAAGTGTACATTGAATTTAAAATATAACTAGATTTATGAGTAAATCAGCTGCACTCTTCACATAATTCTTTTCAAGTTTCAATTTGTTGATATTTTTTAAATATAGCACAACTCTTGTTTCAAAATTTTTTTTTTTTTCAAATACAATGAATATTTTTTGAGTTATTTCCCTTTGATTGGTAAAAGTTAATTTGTGTTAAAATCTTTTTTTTTTTTTTTTTATTTTGATACTTCTGAAAATTGCTTCAAGCTATTTTCATTTTCAAGTTTCACCGTCAAGATGTCATTGCATATTTATGAACATCTTTGGTATAAATATTTACTCATGAAGCAGTCTATACTATGTTATCTTTGGACATTAGACCTAAAAGTAGAATATGTAAATGAAAACAATAACAAAAAATTAAAACTACTACCTGTGTATTAGGATCAATGTATTGAAATATTGCAATGTTTGGCAATTCGTCCTATTCAAAACATGAAGTCATAGCTTAACGGACAATGCAAATGTTAATTCTGTTTTATCTACATTTATCCATGTCTTGAGAAAATGAAAGGAATGCTTTAATTTTCAATATCAAAGTTATGAAGAACTTATCACTGTTCATTAAGAAATTACTTCAAATATTGTTATTATACTCTATATGGTTATATCAACATTGTTTTATAGCAACCACAAATATGATTATGTATTTTGCCTCTTGCTACACGTGTATGTGTCTGCATGAGTGTTTTAAAATAAAGTATATTATATATTTATATGTATCAGTCATTTTGAACTGATCAATATTCTTCACATAGGATACATGTGAGTAAGTCATGGTTTTATAGCGAAAGTTTTTGTACATCATTACATGTGTACATAAGTAAATCTATTTTCTATGGAACCTATATATCATAGAGAACAATATAAAATCAAAAAGTTCTCCAATTTGCCATCTCAGAATCCAATGCACTGTGAGTGAAACGTACACCAAATTATTTTGATTGGTTTATGAACAATATAACGTAACGTCATTGGCCAAAAATCCATTGCTCGTACACCAAAAATTTCAAGAATAATCATTTTACCCACAAGCCTTTGGTTTTCGAAACAGCGAATTGTCAAGTTTAATAACAAACATGCTGAAGGCAAACGTAAAGCTAATAATAAAAAAAAATTAAATAAATAAATAAAATTTTGGTTTGGATAAAAAACAAAAGCAAGAAATTGGCAAATCAAAATAAGCTAATAGCTATGATAAAAAAAACAAATAAACAAAGACACAAAAAAAGCAAAGAAAAAAAAAAAAAACAACACAAATAGCAAAAAAATGTGCACAACAAAAAAAGAAAAAAGAAATGCAAAAACATAAAACATAAAACAAGCACATTGTATACTCAACACTGTGTGTCACATTTTTACTTACTGTTCTTTTTTTAAGCCTGAAATATATATATAATGAGAGTAATGAAAGCATGCATATACATGTGTAGATCTAACTAGCTTGTGGGAAAACACTGCAAAAATTAAAATAAATAACAAGAGAGTGCATATATACATTGTATTCACTTGTTATTTAAGTACATCTCAAAGATAGTCAATATATTTTCAAAAAATGAATTAAGTGTAGCATGGAGGCCAAAAAAAAAAAGCTTAGTAAGGTAAGCAACAGAGAGCCTCCCTCCTTAGAAACAAATTATCTTTTGAGTTTGTACGAGTTTGTAGGAGAATACGGGTCCCGATAACCTTGATTCTAGTTTGCAGATGTTCCTCATTCCTAATTTTGTAAGCCATCTTTGCAAGTTCATGCCTCGATTCTTTCATGACTGGGGGTAGATCATCAACAATGCACATTCGTTTGTCAGACAAATTGTAACCTTTAGATATGGCATACTGTTTGTCTGCATAGTGCATAAAGCGGATTATAATAGGAGCAGGCCTTTTAGTTTGATCAGATGTTTGCCTTGACGGAATACGATGGGTGTTGGCAATCGGGAACCTATCAGCCTTTTCTTTATCGATTTTTAGGTCTTGAATGAAAAATGCTTTAAACACCTCGTATATATCTTCGTTTTCACTTTCCGGTACTCCATAAACAAGGGCGTTGTATTTACTTTCATGTTTTTCTAGCAAAACCTGTTGCTCATGCAGAATTGAATTTTTTTTTTCTAGACTTTTTCTGAAAAGATCCAACTTCTTATTTTCTACCCTGTTTAAATCTAGTTCAATTTGTTCAACACCCTTCACTAGCTCAAGATGATCCTCCCGTAATTTTTTAACCTCAAGTTTTGTGTTTATAACATCGGTTTTTACCACATCTACCTCAGATTTTATTTCTGTTACTATGCGCGTGAAACGGTCCTCTATATTATCTAACTTGTTGGATAAAGTGCCTACTTTTCCGTCTATACCGATAATAAGTTGCTTCAGTTCAGAAAAAGACTCTACGGTAGCCATGGTAATAAAAGAAAGAGTTATTGAGTTTTCTATGCGATGAGAGATAAGTGTCTCGTACCTTGTTATTTGTACATGTTCAAAATCCCCTCACAATAACATCACCTGCACAAACTTTGAATTAAATCATGTTCTCTATATTACGTGTGCATAAACGGTATAAAATTTTGTTGTTATTTACATGTTTTCTGGTTGAAACTATACTTTTTTTCTACTCGTCAATTTTTTCCATGGGCAGCGCCATTACAGGGGAGATAACTTTTTCCCTTTTTTTAATCTTAGATTAACTTGGCTATTCTTGTTTATGTTTTTGTTATATAGCTCCTAACGTTTCTACTGTATGTATACATCTCTTAACGTTTCTATTGTATGTTTACATCTCTTAACGTTTCTACTGTATGTATACATCTCCTAACGTTTCTACTGTATGTATACATCTAACGTTTTTACTGTATGTATACATCTCCTAACGTTTCTACTGTATGTATACATCTCCTAACGTGTCTACTGTATGTATACATCCCTGTCTTACAAATGTTTAGGTTTGGGTGTTGCTATTGAATGTTAATCAAGAAAAGCGCTTCAGTCGCACACAATTTATAAAGTGTTATTTTCATTTATTGAAAGAATTAATATTTATCATAAGAAATATAAAAACAAAACTTGTAAATAAGTTTATCTAGCAAAATGATAGAATGCTAAAAGGATGTATGTAGCTGCCTTATTGTACAAATATGTGATACACCAATCATACTTCCATCATTAGTACCTTCATAAGAAAAACAGTACAAGTTTGACGAATTCGTTAAACTAAAATCCTCGATGACAGATATGCAAGTTTTTGTCCACTGAACTCTCAGATGCTAGTGAAAAATGGCAGACAGCAAATCGTGTCAGATAGTCATGGCAATCAATAAAATGAAAATTGGCACCAGGAAAATAAACGTAGTCTCGTTTTTCATGCATCTGGAAAATTCCTTTCAAAACTCTTGTCTGATGTATTTCGTGTGTTTTTTTTTTTGTGTTTCAGATTTTGTTATGTTTCTTTCCACAAATATTTTGTTTTAATGGGAATGGATCATGCAATGACTCTGATCATGACTACATTATAATATGTAATATTTGGTTTCTCTTTTAAATAGTTTCGAACTTTGTTATTCCGGATTCTTTTATAGTTTTGGGTTTTCTCATTGTTGATACCACATGAGTATATAGAGTAAACGGTAGTTGTTTATATCCGTGTACTTCGGTCGTTAGTCGCATTTGAGCATTGGCGATCATATCACATCTGATCTTTAAATGTATAACAGCAAAAACAACGTATTACCTCTTAAAGTTTGTTTATTATAAAAATGAACAAATGAATTATGCAAAACAGTAAAAATATGTAGATAAGAAAAAAATTTTAAAACAAAAACAAATTATTAAATACAACAGTAAAGCTCAGAGTATAAAAAGTTTTGTCTAACAAATTTAGTGGATTCTACAAGCATCAGTGCAGTATGTATTTGGTGGACATTTATTCTGGTTGCATTTGGAAACACAATATTGGTCGGCATACGGATAACGACTTTTGAACAGCGGAGTTGCCTTGCATGTACCAATATTTTGTCCTAAAATTTGTAAAAAGCTAAATGGGCGTCCTTGTTGAACACCAATATTGGAAAACTGACTGGTGCCAGACGATGAAATAGCTATATCTGCACATCCATAAAACTGTTCTTGTGGTCCGCAACCAATACAACATTTATGGTTGTTATCACAGTTATATGAGTTCCCTGCAAATTAAAAAAAAATTGTATGGGTCAATTTTACATGTATAGCAATACAAAACAAAAATATACTGCAAAGAAACACCTCTCTAATAAACTGGCACAAAGTGCTTTGGTTCTAAAGCTAGTAAATATTTCAACCTGTGTAAACCGAACAACTGTCTGAAATAAAATAACTTATTCAGTCAATTAGGGTTTTATTTCAACAGGTTTCACTGTAATTTTGACACTTTAAGAAAATACGCTGCAATAAGCTAAGCCTATTCATGTAACGTTCAGTTAAAAGTTTCATAACACATTGAAATATTTGAAATATACAAACAAGATAGTAAAGATTGTTGTTTGCAATAATGATCAGAATGAACCGGATGCCTATAACGGATAGGAACACATTGTCGACCTTTGCTGTATTCAATTGATTAATTAAAACAGTGAGTTAGTTACAACATAAAAATAAGAAATTGTGATATGATTGTCAATGAGATAGCCTATTCTAAGACATTTGCTAAAATTGAATTTTTCCAAAGAAGTAATAAGAGAATGTCTTACCCGTATTCCATTTCCATTGTAAAACACACTGCTTGCATGACAACTCCCGAGGGAGAACCAAATGAACTGTATATGTACCAATTGCACCTGGTTCATAAAACTTAGTCTGACCACTAGGTTGTTGCAATAGATATCTATCCAGACATGCTTGTGTAGCTGGTTGATGTGGATTATTTACTGGACAGAGACGGAACTCAAAGTATCCAAGATGAGTAGCAGTGACTTGGACCTTAACCGCAATTGTCTGTCCTGTTTTATAGTGTCCCGTAACAATACCGTTTGCATATTTCCCTCCAGCCTCGTTATCACGAGCTTCATTCCAAGGGTCTCCACATACTCCACATTTTCCACCATTCACTGCCCATTGCTTCTGAAAAATATAAGTACGTTTGCATGTACATTTCTTCAAATAAATAAGGCAATAAAAGATTTGATTTGATGCGGGAAAATGAAAGAGTATTTGAATTTTAAACCAACAAGTATTGCATTATACGGTATGCTACCATACCATGATCATTAATATGTGCATGTAGTTTGTACTGATTAATTATTTTACTTGCAATATCTGATACTAAGTATTGTATAACTTTGATATATGTAACTGGATACTTACATTGAAGCCACCACAATATAGTTGGTTATCGTTGTAATTTTTAGGTGTACTGTATCCATAACGCCACATTGTAGATCTTCCGGGAGGAGAAACGAGTCTTCCGTGTCCCAAAACAGATGCAATTAATGTGCTCAGTACTGTTATTTGCAGCAACATATTAATGTCCTGAAAAAAGAATTACTAATTATACTTAATAAATATTTTTTTCACATTTTCGGAACTTTTCTGTGCATGTTCATTGTAAAGATAATTAACAAGTGTTGACAATGTCAAAAACTTTTTATTGGTATACAATGGTTACAGCTACTATTTTCATCTTATCACATGTAATTAGAAGTTATATTCCTATCAAATGTTTCAAAATAAGTGTAATTGTTTTGTGCACCATAGCTTGTAAAAAAGAAAAAGTATATACTTTTACTTACTTGTGTTAAATGGTCGATATTGCAACGGTATTATGTTTGTATAAAATGTTCCATGTGCTTCCGTATTTATAGTAAAAGAAACGGATATTCAAGATAATCATTGAAGACTAATTAGTTTACTTTCAGATAATTCATACTTTAATCTCTTCGAAACGGACGTATATTTGTGTAAATAATTGATTGAACTTCTTTAGTGATCTGCACTTATATTTCTTCCATTCGAGGTGAACATAATCTCAGGTCATAATGATAGCGTATGTGACGTTCCACGCTTTGTGTTAAATCGAAATCATTACGTTCCTCGTCTCACAGGCTAAACGTCACACAGTAGAAGACTTGCACTACTGTTCCAAAATTGAAGAAAAGGAATGAGAGAAAATGTTTAAAGAAAACATTCAGTTTAATTATTAGTGTTTTGATTTTTTAAATAATAATAAAAAACAAAAATTTGTGGCATTATTGGATGAATCCAATAAAGTCGATATCCACATATGACCTGAAAATATTTGTCTCTAATTTAACAGTAATACAGTTGCATACATTTCTAATTGGATTTTTCTCTTTATATAGCAAGATTCAAGGAGCGCCTGCATATCGAGTATAAATCTCCTTGTTGATGCAATATTCCAGAGATTGCCTTTTCTATCACTGAAAGATAGAGATTTGCTTCTTTCAAATCAGCTTAGTTTTGTTTAAGTTTTATGTTGCTTGCCTGTTTTTGGTGGCATGCTTTAACACTAATACGATTGCTGTTATTTCTCAATTCAAATGATCTATTTACTAGTATTGATAAAAGAACCCAAAAATAAACTACGTTGAACTCTATTGTTTTGGAAGGGTTCCTGTTCCTGTTAATACAAATGACACCGGGTAAGGTATACAACAGAAAGTAAAAAGTATAGATAATTATGACTGATAAGCGGTTTTTAGTTTTACTTTTTAATGCATATTTTTTTTATGATTAATGTTCCACACTGGCTAGATAATGCTGCTAGTGGACTGCTATTCTTCGATGGTGCCATCAACTCAGTAGTCAGATCTTTGAAACTTGCATGATTTATACCGAACCTTTCATATATTGTCCATCGATAAATCTTGGCGATTAGTTGCAATATTCTTAATTACAAATGTAAAGCATTATATCTGCAATTGTTCAGAATTTAATAAATTCCAATTTCTGACTAAATTGAAATATAATTTCAATCTTCCTTGATGACAAACGAATTGAAAGACAAATGAAAAGATACAAAATTTCAAATGACTGTGAATACGACAAAGAATGAGTTAGCAAACACCATAATTAATGATCAAATGAATATTCTTACACAATTTGAAGTATGTTTCATTTAATATATGAAAGCTTGAACAGTTACTAAATGTTGCGTTCTTCAATTGATGACTGCTAACCGCTTGTTTCATGTTGTCTAAAAAAACAGGAAGTAGATTGTTTTCTTGTGATCCGACCAGGACCAGAAAGTCAAATGTGCAATTATAAATCGCAAACAAGATAAAGAACTATTATTTCTTTATGTTTGCTTCGCTCATAGTCTTGAAAAAAATATGTGTTATAGAAATGTCTGGATATGAAGAAATGCGGAAGTTATGTCCGACTTCACGTTCAAAATTTGAGACCAGAAATATTTTTATACCACCTCTTTTTTTTTTACTTTTTCTGCCTAAATCTTTATAAACCGATAGCAAAACCTTAAACGCAAGTTGTCATTTAATATTCCTTTATTGCACTGGGGTGATATATTTGTTTGAAGAGGATCATTATTCGGCAAAACAATGATTTTTACGACCAGGTTTTCCTTTAAAACATACCAGTTCTTTGCCAAATGAAAAAAATATGTAAACCGAAAGAAAGACAAAATGCACTCAATTGGCCTTATAGGATAATAAAGCAATACAAACATCACTACACTGACCTTTGATAAAAAAACTTTCATTTATTAATAATAACATCAGCAATAAGATGAACGCTATAACCTTCAAATCAATGAGTGATGCATGTAGATATTATTTCATCTGGGAAACAACGAAACTATGTGTTTTTTATGGATGATGCAAACCGGATTTGGAAGTAGTTTTGACTACACAAAGATAATAATTATCCTTTATCTTAGTATATATACTTTACTCTTAATCATTAAAAATCTGCACCGAGGCAAGTTCACTTTTACTTACATAAATCTATCAAAACATCCAATATGTATCATTCTAAAAGAGGGACGAAAGATACCAGAGGGACAGTCAAACTTAAAGGGCAAAGGGGGTTCCATGTACAAATGCTTTTATATAATACAAATTAAATTTATGTAAAACAAATTAGATTGACCTCGTTTCTTCGATTATGTTTTTAGTATTTACTGGTATCAAAACTGATATCTTATGTTTACTGCCAACAAAGAGCTACATGATGGGTTCCATTGCTGCAGCGTGACTGTTCAAAACATTTTCAATCCTATTTGTAAGTGCGATTTTATGTTTCGTGTTTATTTTTTATATGAAAAGTTGGCAAAAACCATTTCATACCAACTGAATGGTGTGTTTCCTGGCTAAAAGGTCATACAAATCAGCCAAATCATGTTGTCATCTTATTCTAACAAGTTGAAACCAAAATTCATCAAAAGTAGAGGTCAACAGGGCTTGCTCTGCCTTTTTATCATCTTATAGTCTTTACGTCCAGACATTTAGCAATGTGTAATTTTATACACAAATTATTTTCTTCTTTTTAATATCGTTCTAAATATGAATGAAATAATTGCTATTGGACATTAAACAAGCAGCAATAATTCAATCAATTAATCTCTTATGAAGTTTATCTTTAAGGGTTTTCTGGTGGAGGCACCCCAACTCGCTGACTTTGGGATTGTGGCAGTATTTATTCCTCACCTTTGCAAATTATTGTCATTTATTCAGTGTTGGGTTTTTTAATATATATCTGTTCTTAACAGTGAGTTGTATTATATTTTTATGGTATTCTGAATAAATGACCTTCATCTCCAATCTTGTGTTAGAATTTCTGCAGTTGAACTCGAATCATTGGGGCATTTTCCTCTCACTTCAAAAAGAAAAATTTGGCTGAAGAATATCAAATCGTTTTATCGTTTATCCTAAACTTAGATGTATTTGGCTATTCTTGTTTCATGTCCTATTAAGGCACCTCACGTATTGAAGTACTTTACATCCTTGGTTTTCACATATGAATGATTGAGTTCGAGTGATACCGATGAAGGTAAAGCCACCAAAGCGGCTCTGACGCCCCAAATGTATAAAGTGTTCTACATTTTCTAGCACTTTACATGCAATACAGCTGCTGTATGGCTGCTAGTCGTCCACGGTATCATCAACTTAAAAGTCAATTTTTTTTGGTACAAATATGATTGATAAGATTTGTTTTTTTATATTCTCCATTTTTTAAAGAAATCAATTTCCAACTTCCTCAGACAAAGTTTACCTCAGTTGGATTTTTGTTATCTGTTCATGTCCCTTTTTGGCACATCGATCCTCACGTATTCAAGAACTAATACACATCTATATACGGCTTTCAAATTTAAGAGTTCGAGCATTTTGCCGAAGGTTTATTAAATTTATAAAGAGTTATTTTTATTTTATTTAATCATACAAGTAAAGTTTGAATGATTCAGCAATATATATTGTTAAGGGTTCTAGTACACAAACTAGCTAAGAGTGTGCATATATTCAGGATTTTTTTTCTTTAAATATAACAAAATGACATTTTGAAGTTTGCTGACATTTTGGGGTGAAATTATGCATCTGCAGGATATGGTTGTTTTAAACTTGGACCTTAATACATATAGTTTGTTAGTACTCATGATAGGTATCTGCATTTCTTCAGGATGATGATATACTATTATTTTACATATATGACTCGATGTTGATCACGAAATGTTTTAGGATTTTTTTCAAAAGGAGAGCCAGTTTTGTCCAGTAAAATTCTCAAACAGTTAACAAGCTAGACATGTTATATCAACTGAAAATTCAAAGATAAACTGTAACACTTCAGTTATTTCAATACCGTTGCACTGATGGCTGGTTGCATGGTAATTCTGGGAAATGCAAGTTCCAACCGAGAGACAGTTACCATATGGACAATACTAAATTTTTTCTTCTAGTAAGACATTCATTGGGTATGCTCGAAATAAAAAGTTTCAAAATACATAATTATATGAAGTATTACAATGACCAATTCAAATCGAAATGCTGAACCTGTCTCTGATCAACGTTGCGTTAGGGAGTTGAATTTGCTTATAAATTTTAATTGCCTTTTAGCAGTCAGTGATACAACCAGGTTTAATTCACCATTTTCTACATAAGAAAATGCCTGTACCAAGTCAGGAATATGACAGTTGTTATCCATTCGTTTGATGTGTTTGAGATTTTGATTTTGCCATTTGTTTAGGGACTTTCCGTTTTGAATTTTCCACAGAGTTCAGTATTTTTGTGATTGTACTTTTTTTTCACTCAGTGAACCTTGTAATACAATTCTTATTCCACTTATATCATTTGATGTTTTGACCATATTTGTAAATCTTATTTACTATTTATATGTTAAGATAAGAATGAATGGTAGAAAATAAACCAACAAATAGCAATATCTTTATGAAATTGATAAAGATAAAATAATGTAAATAATAAAAGAAACAATCAAACCAATGGAAGTTATATGAACCACGTAATTTTTTGTTTTTGTTCAAAACCTTTTGCGTATTTTCGCAGCCATAATACAATGAAAATTACGAATAGAATGGCGAACAAACGTCATACACCTGCTGGTCATCGACAGGGACATCACTTTTAAACCATTGTGGGATTAACAGATGTATAGGTCACTTATCAATATTCAACGCACTTTTATATATTAACATGCGTATGTTGCGAAGAGATTAAAGAATTTGTTTATCTAAAAGTAAACTTATTAATCCTCGTGTATTCACTGCCATATCCGTAACTTTTCCTATAAATATGGAAGCACATGTAACATTGTATACAAACAAAAGCACGTGGAGAACTAGGTAAGACATAATAAGTTGATTTGCCTCTTAGCTTTATATATTATAATATAACTCGTATTGTCATACTACACGATCAACAATTATATAATGTAAATGTTTTTTGTTTTTGTTTAAAGGCTTCTATATGTGTACATATTTATCGTATAAAGATGATATAAAGAAACTTGCATCCAATAATTTATGGAATTTATTTGTGTAACTTAATTGATAAAAATATTTATGTGAACAACATATTATTAATAATATTTTATATACAGGTTAAGTACGCTTCGTATATTTTCAAAATGCATAACTGAATTTTCACTCAATCTGTAATCTTCGAAAATAGCTGAAATCTTTCTCAGTATTGATGTAGACGAGGAAATCTAGAGCTCGATATGTTGTATATTGACACTTGTCTTATTTTGAAGGCCGTCCATGGAAGCCTAGATGTCTTTTGGTGCTGGTCGGTCGCCGCCCCATTATTGTATGACACTCATGATCTTCTTTCATAATTGTTATAATTAGGGCTAATATTGGCTCAGGGTTCAATCCTCATTTTATCATTTTATCATTTTGCTCCACATAGCGAGCTTCGGCCTCCTTGAGCAATGATTTTGTTCCGGGTTCCACTGATAATGCTTGGAGCTACTGAGGTTGTGATGATGATTCGAAAAAAATGCCTTCTGGCTCCAAGGCAACCATGGAAGTAGTGCATATAATTCTCTAATGTTGCATACCTCTTGTTGAAAACACCAAAACTTGATATCGACGAAATATATACTTCTATTATAATTATGTAAGCACTACATTTTATTATATCATTTGTACTTTACAGGAAAACAATATGTTGACGCAGATTTTTACATTAGCTACAGTTATTGCTGTCGTCTACGGGCATGGCAGACTTATATCCCCTCCAGGAAGATCCACAACGTGGCGCTATGGGTACAACACACCTAAAAATTACAATGATAACCAGTTATCTTGTGGAGGATTCTATGTAAGTCGTTATAGATATCTAATAATTTTTTAACTAGAAAATAATAGATTTTTTAAGAAGAATTAATAAACTTATATTGGTACAAAGTATATATGTGTAGAACTCGTAGGTGCAATGGTCACGCTGAAGTACGATGGTCACGCTGAAGTGCGATGGTCTGCGCTGAAGTGCGATGGTTTGCGCTGAAGTGCGATGGTCATTTCGCTGATAAGCGATGGTCTATCAGACGCGTGATGCTAGTTTTAAATCAACAGATGTCCAATATTATGAGAGCTTGATTTTTTTGATATTAGTACATAAATACCAAAATTCAATGTTTTCTACAGTTGCAGGAAAAAACAATGGTCATCTATCTTATTTCTTGTTCTCATTCACATCAGCCGTATAGATTTTTCGTTTGTTTTGTTTCGTTCTGACTAACCAAGAAGTATTCGCAATCAGTACTGGTTTAAAGGGAAAATAGCTTTCGTAAAAACATGTAGATCAATTTCTAAACGATTGTATGAACGACTGATTATTTTGTCTAAGCTACCAAAATTTACAGAGTATAGTGTACACTACACTTCAACGTTACACTGAGGACTGGAAATGAAATGACTTTTCATCATGACAGTTTTAACCATCGATATTTACATAAAAAGCATCTGAAAAGCTACTTTTAACAATTAAAACATAAAAAGCAACTGAAAAGCTACTTTTAACGAACAAATAGGTTTATTCATCGACATGTAAACATTGCAAATATGATTTATGTAATCTATCGCACTTCATCGTTGCCACCATCGCGCTTCAGCGTAGCTATCAACAAGATAGCATCACAATGCCACCATCGCACTTCGGCGTGATCAAAAACGCACTTCAGCGTCAAACCATCCCACGTCAGCGTACCATCGCGGTTCAGAGTCCTACATATATATTGTTGTTCGACGGGATCTAAGAAAGGTATTCCCTTCTTAAATATGAGAAGAAAACAAATGTGCATCTTTAATATACTAGTATTATAATAGCTTCTGTTAAATGTTTGACAGCTTTGTACTTATACCATGCATTTGATATACGTGTATTTATTTCTTTCAGAAACAATGGACACTAAATGGAGGAAAATGTGGAGTATGTGGTGACCCATGGAACGGGGCTCGTGAGAACGAGGCTGGAGGAAAATATGCAACAGGCACCATTGTTAGTCAATATAAGACAGGACAAAAGATTCAGGTAAAAGTTCAGATCACTGCTACTCATCGTGGATATTTTGAGTTCCGTCTTTGTCCGGTTAACAATCCACGTCAGCCAGCCACCCAAGCCTGTCTAGATAAAAATGTGCTAAAGCAACCAAATGGACAGTCTAAATTTTATGAACCAGGAGCAATCGGTACATATACAGTTGATCTTATTCTACCACAAGGTTTAACCTGTACGCAGTGTGTGTTACAGTGGAAATGGAATACTGGTAAGAACCAATTTAACTGAATTTGTGCACAGTTGTCCGAGTACATCTACATTAACGTTTTAAATTGATATACCTTTTGATTTTTCATAGAAAAGTGCTTCTATTAAGTATTAATTTTTTTGACGATTGTAAATATGAAGAAGGTACAAGCGTGATGCCACAGAATGCATTTTTATAATTTACACATACCCTGAGCTTAAAAGTTTCGTAAATACAGATATTGTATCTATTAAATAACAACAATATTGCAAAACAAGTCTAATTTCCCCTGAATATGTTTAACAGGGCCTTTTAAAAAAATCTTTTCATCATTACTTTATTTCATAACCACTGTATTACAATCCATTGTGTGTACTTTAAAGTTTTAACAATATTCTGACTAAGATCACAAATTTATTAACGCAAAAAGACAGGCCTGCACTTAAGTGTCTTACAGGTTTTGACAAATTTGAGTATTTATCTATCTCTTAAATATATAAGAAGAACAACGTTAATCGATAAAAAATGCTGTTGGTACTAATTTTAACGACTCAATTAAAACCTTAAGAATTTAGTTGCCTATTAATAACCTTAAATTTATTTATAACCTTATGTGTGAAACACACATATCTTTTTCTCAATAATCTACAGTTGATGCAGATATATCGTTGAAGAGCGTATAGTTGCCTTTGTGTTATTATATTTTGTCTCTGCAAATTCGGGCTTTTGGATTTTGTTATTAGCTTTAAGTATGCAAAAATAATTATCAGAAATATGTGGAATCATTAATAACACCAAGAACTAATAGGTTACGTTTTTCTATCAATTACAATTATCTTGCATACTATAATGTGTTCCGAACAATAGGATATGAAAATTGTTGCATAATTGCATACTTTAACATATAGTTATTTTCTTCTTGCAGGAAACTCATACAACTGTGATAACAACCATAAATGTTGTATTGGTTGTGGGCAACAAGAACAGTTTCATGGTTGTGCAGATATAGCTATTTCTTCGTCAGGGACAAGTCAGTTTTCTAATACTGGTGTTCAACAAGGACGCCCAGTCGGGTTTTTACCCATTTCAGAACACAATGTTAGAACATGCCAGGCAACACCACTGTTCAAAAGTCGTTATCGATACGCCGATCAATATTGTGTATCACAATGCAACCAGAACAAATGTCCACCCAGCATATACTGCACCGATGCTTGTAGATCTCACTAAAACTCTTTTTACAAAATCTATACTCATTTTACTCACATTTTATTTTGATACAAAATAATTTTTTTATCAGTGTATATATTTATATACATATATTTATTTATTGTTATTGCATAATTAATGTGTTTGTTTTTATATTAAAATTACAATCCAATAAACTTATTGTCTTTTTATATAATCCAGATAATCAGTTCTCCTTTTTAAGTATTTTTTTATGATTTTTGAAAAAAAGCTTATGTCCCATAAAACTAACACCTGCTAACGTATTGCGATTAACAAACGTCATGCGATTGGACAAATGGTATGTTCCTACTGAAAATGGAAAATTGACTATCAAAAAAGGAAAGTTCTATCAGATTCTCGTTTTAAATCGTAAATCTGTGTAAATAACGAGAATAATATCAAGATTCCAGGCGACCTTATAGTTTCGGTAGTATTTGTAATTTTAAGTTCACTGGAGTAAATGAGATACAAACACTCCACTGCAACGTGCACGCACTAGTACATCCACCCCATACACGATTATCTTTATTAATATTTAGCTCCAACAATTCTAAAACAACTACATTCAATTTCAACCAAACATTTGAATTGATTATCAAATGAGCATTCTATAAAGTAAACTTATTTCACAAACATAAAAGTAAACTGTACAGCTTTAACATATCTTCACGTAAACAAATTGTATTCTCATTAAAATTTAGCTTCGGACAAAACACTTTGTAGTGAACCAATCAAATGTAATAAGAATTTATTCTTAATTGTAATCATTTTAACAATAGAATTGGACAAACGTTTGTCGACACGATATTACATCAAACAAACAAAATTAATCAGACAAAATTTGGTTTAAAAAAAAATTTTTTAGGCGCCACTATAGATTGAGTTCAGATAGTTGTCACGATTAAATGTTATAAACACAAAAGTCTAAATTGATCATATATAAAAGAATAGTAGTCAATTCCGTGTCCTTGAATAGTCTATTTTAAGTGTATTGAATTAAAAAAAGACAGCAAGATTCTTAAAAGTTAAAAGTATATACATAGTCGGGGTAAAGTACAGTTGGTGTAATATATATAAGATAGGAGATCAGTATGGATTGTAACATTCTTCTGCTTGTGACATTTTTTATAATTAGCAAAGTGGCATGTGCAGACAATTGTGAACTTAGTGCTTTTTTTGCAAACTGCTCAAAGCGTGGTTTTTCGGAAATTCCTAAGAACCTTCCAGAATATATAACTAAACTCGAATTATCAGAAAATGTCATTACAAAGATAGGATCAAAGGCATTTAAAAGATATGATAAGCTACTAGTTTTACACTTAGCAAACAATAACATAAGTATCTTAGACAGAGATGCTTTTGAGGGCTTATGCGAATTAAAGGTGCTTTCTCTAACAGGAAATCGATTAGATCATACAAGATATCCGAACAATGTTTTCCGTCCGCTAAAGAGCATACATGAACTTTATCTTAATCGAAACATAAGAAGTCCACCTCCGTTTGAGCAAGAAAAAACTTGTGAATATTCCGATAAAGCCTTCAGCTGGATGGTTAATCTGAAAATTCTGTCAATAGATCTATGTGGAAGCTCAAATTTTGGCATCGGATTTCTCAAATTGATACATTTACAGAATCTTACATTTGATCATTGTCTAGCTTGCAATTTAACTCGAAAAACCTTTAGTAATTTTCGAAAATCCAACGTCACTGTGCTGAATCTCAGTCGATGCGAACTGTATGAAATGAGTGAATCTATTGACGCTGGAATTTTATATCCTTTTTCAAATGTGACAAGTCTTGATTTATCAAACTCGTACTTTAGCTTAAAGCACGCCCTCCAGCTTTTGTTGCCATTCCGTAATAAGAAAATGGATATGATAAATTTTCATCGTGTAAGTCGGAATACTAGAAGCAGTCCAGAAAATCCATTTAAAATTGTTATAACAAGTGAAATGATGCAGTTTCTTAGAACTATCTGTGTGAAAACTCTTATCATGTCATACAACGGAATTGTAGATGCAAAACCCAATTCATTATTTGTTTTTGATCACCCGGAGTGCTTTGAGAATATAATAATATCAGCAAATAGTTTTTGGTTGGAAAATACTCTCCAATACATCGAGGTTCTAAAATTAGCAAGTACCATGATTAATCTTCGACTATTCGATTATTCATACGTCCCGCTTAAGTTTACATGTATGAACTTTATACTCCCGCCAAATTCAGTGATCTTAAACAATGACATGTTATATACAGATAGAACCCTAACCAATACAACGTTTTATCTTCCAATTAAACTGGAACATCTGCGATTCAGTCATGTAATGGCGTCTTCCCAACTGTTAAGCGTGATAATTAGAAATACACTTTCACTGAAATTCTTAGATTTATCGTATGTTTCCTTCAAAGAGTTTCCTGATATTTTCATGCCTGAAGGTAACGTTATAGAACACCTAGATTTTTCAGGAATAGATTCAAGACTATATGTTGATAAAGGAGTTACTGAATTAATGGGAGAAGTAAAAACTCTCCTCGTACGTAATGCTAAATTAGATCTGACATTTAGAGAACGGAAAAATGTCTTTAAATATTTAAGAAATCGAACAATTAAAATTGATATATCTCATAATCATCTATGGGCCCTTCCGAAGACATTTCGTGTCATGTCCAATTTAGAACACATTGATTTATCTTATAACTCATTTCGACATTTTCCGAAGGCATTGACATCAATTTATAATCTCAAAAAAGTAGATTTGAGATTTAATCGGTTACTGACCTTAGACAAAAAAGTTACACAGTGGGCTGACGATGTTTGCAAGAAACACAATTTATCATTACTGTTTGCAGGAAATGAATTTGCTTGCAGTTGTGAAAATCGACACTTTTTGAGGTGGCTAACACAAACAAACGTCTTATTGGACAAAGACGGGCATTATCATTGTCGATTTCCTAATGGAACAAGGACAAATACTACCAAGGTTATGGAACAATTCCATGATACATTTTCAGATTGCGATGCAATCGCTTGGTTACGTATAGGCGTCATTTGCATCGTTTCTTCCTTTGTCATCATTTGTTTATCGGCTGTACTTTATCAGTTCAGATGGAGAATGGCATATTTTTTCTATCGAAAACTAAAAATGAACTATGTAATCGAATCGGAAGACGTTGAATTCAGGTATGATATCTTCGTTGCATATGCATCTGATTGCTGCGAATGGCTTAAAGGTTCATTAATACCGATACTAGAACAGGAATGGAAATTGAATGTCTGTGTGAAAGATCGTGATTTCCCGGTAGGGGAAGATCGAGCAGATACTGTCATCAACAGCATGCGAAATAGTAAGTTTATAATTTTCATAATTACACCAGAATTTATTAAAAGAAAATGGGGAAAGTTCGAGATTGAAATGGCTAAATATGAAATGTTTGAGCATAGAAAACAGAAACGCATTATTGTCATAATGAAAGACGGCACATTAAAAGAGGACGTTCCTATTGAATTTAGTCTTATATGGAAAGATGTCATAATGATCGAATGGCCAAGCGATGACATAAATACCGAAAATGTGTGGTATGATTTAAAGTTGCAGTTGGGTTGAGATTGTGGTATCCGTTAAGGAATTGGTGTAATGAATAGTGAATTTGAAAGAGCTATCTTGTTAGCATGTACATATTGCAATAAAGAGTTATGGATATTGACATTCAATATAAGAGACGATCAATTTTTGTTTTATCATAACTTGATTGGTAGAAAATGAATTTAATTATTTTTCTGCAAAATAATCTGGAAATATTTTCCTTCGATTAACTCTTTTTATAAATATCTCGACAAACCAGAGTATGCTTTATTTTGAATATAAAGTATGCGCATGTTAATGATTTGAAAATTATCTTTTTAAAAATTAAAATAAATATTTAAACAATTGTGTGTTCTCTATTTATTGTCATTATTGTCACTACATATATCCATATCATGTTATTTTGCTATAGCATTGCAATAACATATTCATTCATTCATGTTTACATTCAATTCATAATTATCGGCTAATTTAGTCATGTTAATTATAACTTTGGTGCATACTATATGTAAATATACAATGCAATATTGAAGACATCTATTAAATCACATTAGGTGTGCATTGTATCGATATTCAAAGACATTGTAAAAGATGTCACATGTGAATACAATTGCAAATGCATATCAATTAAAACAAAATTAATCATTTATAACTTATGTAATGTAGAATAATATGATGTATTTCTTTGGCCTTGGATTTAAACAGCGATGTATGTATTCTAGTTCCATGCCGATTGCAGATCCAGTTTGCTACTAGCTCACACTCTATACCTCAGTTCCTGTAACTTAAAAAAAAAACATGTTGAACTCAAGAACTTGTATGAATAGTAGTTTACCGATGTTCATATCTCATAAATCGATTTATACAAAGAGAACCTGCACTTAATAGACATTTTCAATAAGTTTTTTCTCCGACTAATGACATCTATAGTTGTGAAATGAGGGATCGTATCAAAGATTAAAGCATTCTAGAATAACATTACATATTCATATTGTAATGTCTAGGACAATTTTGAAAAAAAAACGGATATCGAGCATTGCTAGTCTCTTTTCTGTCTCTCCCTCTCTCTCTCTCTCTCTCTCTCTCTCTCTCTCTCTCTCTCTCTCTCTCACACACACACAAAGTAAAACACACACGCACATACACATACTATTACATTGAAGTGTTATTATTCACTCGGAACAAAGTTGTGAAGGGTTTACTATAACGGGCCGTCCGTACGTCCGTCTGCAACACAATTGTGAACGCTGTAGAACACGTGCTTTTTAGCTGACTTTTCAACACACTTGGATTACATATTTAGTGAAGAGGGTGTAACAACATGGAATTTGGTCAATAGATCGATGCCCAGCAATACCAATTGGTGAATAATAGGTAGAGATAACTTATTACATATTCCGCAGAACAGTGTGTTCTTCTAAGAGATATCATTACCCAAATCAAAACCCTGTGATAACGAAACCAAAATCAGTCGCGAACATTTTGAAACCAAAACGTGGTATATTTCACCGTATTGTCGCAGAGTACATAATGTAATGAGTACATAAAGGAGGCCGACAATCTGTAGAACTATGTGCCGTCCTTACCAAAAATGCGTAAAACATACTTTGCTTAAAACCTTTACTACTGAAGTTTACACAATTTTATCGAGAAAATTTGGAGGTCGTATTTTACAAAGATGAATTGAATATTCAAGCCCTTCGTTTATTTAGACTCAAATTAAAACAAATATTCAAACTATATTTCACAACTACTAAGTAAAACATACATTCAGATGTGCATCTTGGAGAATACACTACTAGTAATATTCATATAAAAAAAATGTAATGACAAAATTATCAAACTACCACTTAAATTTAAAAAGGGGAAGTTCATCAAACTGTCGAAACCGAACGCTTGACTATATCAACCAATCATTTGCCGGACTTGGTGGATTATATCTGGTTTGATGGCTAGCCAAACCACCTACTTGTATGTTTTATATAGTCCCGTGATATTGATTGAATTTTGTGAGCAACCCTAACATACACAATTGGTTATTGTGACAATAATTGGGATACAGCAGCCAAAATTATGTACATGTATGTTTGTAAACAAACATTATAGATATATAACATAGATAAATAAATAAGCAAAGAAAACATACGATAAGCACTAGTTTTTTTACTCACACACACTTTGCATTTTAACTGCCAGTATCGTTGTTTTTCGTATGTGTAGACTTTTAAAAGAAATGTCTAATACCATGAATCAACTCTGTTAACAACTACTTTTAGGGCATATATATACAACTACAATCAGTATTGATTGACGATAGCCTTACAAGACATCGAACTTATTATATTGACAGTAAATGAAAATAACACAACATTTTTAATCAGCAGTGCAAAAGTTCATAACCTATTCAAAGTATAATCTTATGATCATATGTAATAAGGAAATATTTGACGAATGATCTCGTCGCACAAGAAAACCCAAATCAAAACAGGTTAAAAAGGTCAAACTGCACTTAAAATGTCATCGAATTATAAAGTTGTGAATATAAAGGAGAATAATGAAAAAATTACTAATATGCTTTTCACAGTAAAATTTGATATTAATAATTGTGCGTATAAGTATTTATACATGAATACATATGCAGGTAAAATGAATGAAAACACAAAAGATAATAAGTAGAATATTACATGAAATAGATTCTTGTCCATGTTGAACTTGTTTGGCTACAAATGTAAAATATTTCCGCTCAATATCAATATCACCTGATATTAAAACACATATACTTATATGAAATATCGTATAAATAGTATTCACTAATACCACCACATGCACTAATACCGTAATTTCTACCTACACTATCGATTCGTGAGAAATTATAATTGTACGACTTTGCCCCCAGCAGAGCTATAGAAAAACAGTACATTAACGGGTGTTACACGGACACTTTTTAGATGATACACGGACACTTTTAAGTTGTTACACGGACACTTTTTATGAATAGAATCACTCGTGCATGATCAGTGAGTTCATGGGCACTTTAAATTTCAATTAGATTTGAACTTTTTGTTTCACCGACATATTTCCTGTCTTTTTAATTAAAAATATTTACGTTAGCATCAATAACTATATTTTTATTCAAACAATTCCAGTAACTATTTATATTAGTACACTAAGGGTTTGACCATTTAACTTCAAAAGGCCGGTTATGGTTTTTTCCTAAAAAAACACATTTTGATCCCCAATTTTATGAGAAAAAATATATAATGGTCAAGCAGATGACACTGAAAATAATGTTCTGGCTCCTGATTTTCCGAATACCGTATATAATAGTGCTGATTTCGAAAAATAAAATATTTGGGCGATAGCGTTGAAAAACTAAATAATTTTCTTACTCAGAAAAGAACACACCCCCTTTTGAAGCTAAATGGTCGGTCCGTAAATGTATTTTTTTTCAATATATGGACATGAATAGTATTCTGGACAATGCTGAAAGAAATGCTGGTACCAACGTTTATATTTCAATAAAAAGACAGGAAATATATATATAAAAATCAAATCTAATCAAAAGATAAAATCCCTATCAACTCACCAATGCACGATTGATCCTATAAATAAAAAGTGTCCGTGTAATACATGTTCAAATATGCAGCAAATCGTAAAGAAAATCATTCAACTTATGTCATCAATTTTGGACGGTAAGCTCTGATTGGATCATATAGTGACACGTGTTTAATCCTGATCAACACTATCAGAGACATATAAAAACCTATAAGCATGAACATTTTTTTTTTAATCCAAAACATATGCCTATATATATATATATAATAACAAGACATGGACATGGCACATCCTGCATTTTTTCAACAAAAAATAAAGTAATTAGATTCTTGAATTTTTTGAGAAAAAAACTCGGCTGAAGGGAAGTGAGAAAAAAAATTGAGTTTAAACTGTAACTTAAAATAACTGGTATATGGCCATTTAAGTTTCTAATATCTTTAGTTTTGCTACCTCTTCTAAATGCAAAATGTACTTCTTCCTTCTTGAAACGTCGTACAAGTCAGATACAAAACAAAGGTAACAAAAAACAGGCCGGAAACAACCTGCCGTATAGTTTGTCTGCACTTGTAGTCAGGTCAAGGTCCTCGGCTATCGCCTCGGACCTTGACCTGACTACTCGTGCAGAAAAACTATCCGGCAACGGTTGTTACCGGCCTGTTTCTTTGTTACCTTTGTATTGTATCTAATACGTATCAACTTTAAAATCTGCTTTGGGGCATATCAATGAAATACTTCAGTCTATATATACTTATATACACAACAAGACTAGTAATCACTAGTTCCGTTACAAAAGTGGATACTGTGGGAAATTATCAGTATCCACCTTCTGATATTTATTATAAGTGCATATAAATAAATAATACAATGTCTATATATTTCGAATAACCCAAAACGATTAGCATTATGTGTTTTGAATTTCCGAAAGCCATTTTTGCTTAGTCTAGTTTAGTTTAAACATATTTTATTTACTCAAAGTAAAATGTATTGGACACAAGTAAACCATACTTATGAAGTCCACTCCGAATAACAATAAATAACAATACAATATTAATATGAGCATGCAATAATTCAGAATATACAATACTTTACCAGTCTATCTATTGAAAAAAGATAAAACAGTAATAACGTAAAAATTGGTAATGATGATGATGATGACGTGAATGTACCGCAAATACACTATTTCTACATAATAAAAAATCTCTCAGACCTTTTAATAAACTCAAATACATGTTTAAATATATGGACGTTTTGTTCATACGAGAGGTTTGGATTACCAGATGTTAGTACCTTAACATTCAGTATAAGGTCATCAGGAAAAAGTTAAATCACAAAAATACTGAACTCCTAGGAAAATTCAAAACGGAAAGTCCCTAATCAAATGGCAAAATCAAAAGCACAAACACATCAAACGAATGGACAACAACTGTCATATTCCTGACTTAGTACAGGCATTTTCTTATGTAGAAGATGGTGGATTGAACCTGGTTTTATAGCGCTAAACCTCTCACTTATCTTAGCCATCTTAGATTGTTCATCAGAATTTCTCTCTGGTGTGTATATAAAGAACAGTCGAAGAGGAAATGGTGTACAGTCTCAATGTTGCATCCACAAAAACAAAATGGGTCAGCATTTATATTGACTCTAAACAAGTCATAGTTCAAGAAATATGAATAGCATCTGAATTGTGTTAGAATTATATTTAGTTTCCTCGGTCCATATAGATAGTGCTTAGGTACATCTTTATTTGTAGTATTTAGCCTTTTTAATTGGATTTTAAACTT